GCGCCCTGCAGCCGCCGAGCGAAACCGGGCTGGGCTAGGAGCTGCTCATGGAGAAAGTGCCTGGCGAGATGGAGATTGAGCGCAGGGAGCGCAGCGAGGAGCTGTCCGAGGCGGAAAGGAAGGCGGTGCAGGCTACGTGGGCCCGGCTGTATGCCAACTGCGAGGACGTGGGGGTGGCCATCCTGGTGAGGTAGGTGTCGCCCCGGCCCGGCCGGGCCCTGGGCAGGGAGGGCGGCAGTGGCGCCGGCAGAGGCAGGCTCCACCGGGTCCGAGCTCCAGCGCCACCTCCCCAGCTGCGATGGGGGCCAGTGGGGGGCGGGCAGCGTGCAGCGCCCTGGGATGATCGAAACCGGGCTGAGCTCTTCCTGCAATTAGGAACCAGATGCAGAAGGGCACTTCAGTCCCCTTCCTCTCCCTGGCCTCAGCACTCCTGGCTCCACCGGTTTTCCTCCCCAGGGACCCCAGCCACCCAGACAACTATATGCACACACAAATGCCAGCCTCTCAAAGGGACAGCAGGGAAACTGAGGCTTAGCCAAGAGGGTTTCAGAGAGGAGAAGACCTCTCTCTGCAGCTCAGACCCTCGGAGGAACCGGACCCAGAGCTGGAGAGTAGAGGTCAGAAGGAATCCAAGACTGAGCTTCAGTTTTCTCAGCTGCTTGCTTCTTGCCCCAAGGGGAAGGACCAGCAGAGAGCTAAAGTGAGGCTCAGGTGAGTGGGAAGTCACCAGTCCCCTAGAGTGCAGCCCCTGCTGGGTTTGGTACTTAAAAATTTGAGAAGCTGCAGGAGACAGGGCCCCGCCCTGGAATCCCACAGCTAGGGAGGACATGGTGTGTCTGTGGGCTCAGGGTTCATTCATTCAGGCACCATGCCCCTGAGGGACCCCTATACTCCCAGAGTGGCACTACATTCTCACACCCATACAGGGGTGCACACACACCATTCCTTTAGAGTTGATGTCCCCAAGCTCCACAAGCTGAACACTGACCATAGCTACAGATCTAGACTCTATCCACACATGCTGGTCCCTGGGATGCAGGCAGAGAGGCCCAGACCACTCTTCTCAGCCCCCTGTCCTTGGCAGAAGAAAAGTTGTCAAATCTAGGACAGAGCACACAGCCTTGTTACATGAAGATGGGGCCAAACCTCACTCTGGAAGGAGAGCGCTAATGCATGTCCTGGCCCTGTCTCGGGCTCCTCTTCTCCCTCCTCTCTCTCCCTTCTGCCTCCCTCAAGCGGGGGACCTACCAACCTCCATATTGTATACCCTGATTCCAACTTGGAAACACATTTTGGAGGAAAAGAGCAAGAAACACTTCGGGGAAGTTGGAGATTCCTGAGGAAGGGGCTATTCCTCAGCTCCCAAGCCCAGGAGCCCAGCTGTGGTGGTGAGAAGTAAAGAGGAGGTTTGGGATCCTGAAGCCTCAGACACTCTGAGAGGAGCCACAGATTGGCATGTGCCAGCACCCACACAGCGCACAGTGGGGAGCCGAGTCGCAGATGCGCCAGACTGTATCTCAGGAGGGCTGCTCTCAGCCATGTGTTGGCACACACAGCCCTCCGGGCCGCCAACGCATCTGGATGCTCACATGGGTCACCCAGAGGAAACTAGGCAGAGCCCACAGGACTATGGAGGTTTTCTGTCCCAGGCCCTGCCATTGACCAGTGAGGGACTCCCCAGGAATGGGGAGCGGGCAGAGAAAGGAACTGAGCCCAGAGGGCTCATGTTCTGGGTCATGTGAGCCCTTAGCATGGTGATTATTTCTCTCTGTCCCTCCTCTGGGTGCCCATTCCTCACACTCAGGGGACTGGCCCAGCTGGGGGAGGTATTTATCAATATATTCAGAGCCCAGACAGATGCCCCGACTGATTGGAGAAGGCCTGAGGTGGCCGTGAGTTTTGGCTTCCTGGTGCCAGGGCCACACTCTGAGCCACCCTGTGCTGTTGACTGGAGATGGGCCTGGACAGCCAGCCATTTTCTGCCAGCTCCAAGTCCCATCAGCCTTCCTCTCCTTGTCTTCCTCCTGTTGCTGTTACCCCAGGGTCTGGCCAGTGGGGAGGAGCGGAAAGAGAGCAAGGACAAGTCCCATTCGCTTCTCAGGTTCCCGGAGCCCCTGCTCAGATCCTGCCCGTGACCATCTTCACACACACAACATGTAAATCCACAGGAGTGGCTTCAGTGAGAGCCCTGGACGCTGACCCTCTGCTCTGGCCAGCACTCTTACCTCCTCCCCTGCTGCCCATTGCCCATCTGCCCCTTGAGAAGGTGGCTGGAGGGTTGGTGATGGAGGAAGAGCTGACTTGGGGCCTGAGGCAGACACACTTCCACTCCCTGCAAGGGAAGGGACCAGAGGGAACACCCACCCTCCCTCCTGGTTGTAACGCTGACACCTTCCCCCTCACACTCCAAGGAGCCTATTTCAGGCTCTGGAAGCCCAGATGCCTCTGTAACTGAGAAACTCCCCAAGGCTGGTTGTGAGGCTTCTCCCTGGCAGCGCAGGCCAGTCTGGGAGGGTCAGGAGGAAACACGGGGTCTGGAGAGTGAAGCTGGGAATCAGGAGCAGAGTTGGCATCCCCAGACTCTCCTGGCCCAGAGCCCTGCTTCTGGGGGATTGTTGTTCCTCAAAACCACAACACAGCCCCATGTTAGGCAGGAGATTCTCTGGTCCCAGGCCAAGAGCCCCCCACCCAGCAGTGTCCCCAGGCACTCTGCAGAAGCCAGAAAAATCTAGCTCCTTCCTGGTCCCACCACCCACCTTATTGGGCAGCCTTGGGCATCGATCCCTAGCCCATCAGACAGGGATAAAAATAGTGCCAACCTCAGGAGGGAACTGCAAGAATTTGAGCCCATATAGAAAGTGCTCAATGAATGTTCCCTGTTATTTTCTCAGCAGCAAAATGGATAAAACACCTGCTTAGTTGTGGCTGTTAGATACAATATGATAGGTGAAAGAACACCAGGCAATACAAACATCATTATTTTTATTGCAGTTGTAGAAGTCCCACAGTCTGAGATGCTCACTGAAGTCCAGACTGGCTTTCCACTTTGTCCCTCATTATAGTACTTCTCCAGAAAAATCCAGTGTATTTGCAGACCCATCACCTCATTTGCCTTACCCGTGTTATCTTTGAAGAAGCAAGTGGGAGGATGGCCCACAACTTCTGCAGAGTAGGAAGTCCTGAAGTGCTCTCCCAAGGTCACGCTCAGCTTCAAGAGAGGCCCTGTGGGGCTCCACATGGACTGTGCCCTGGTCACTGTCTGAACCTCCCCCACCAAAAGCAGATGCTTGCCCTGCCTCTGATGCAGCTCTCACATTGAGACTTGACCCCTAGCCAGACAGCAAATTGGCAAATTATTAGCTCTCCCTGATCATGAAGGGGGACATACCAAGGGGACAAACACCTGAAAAAAAACATTGTCCCACTCTCTTAGGATTCGTTAAGTCATGCACCTTCTGCCCAGGTCCCAGCACGTGTCTCTCATAAAGCCCAGCCCCTGTTGGGAGAGGACCAATGTCATTGTCCCGCTGCATGTTGCAGGGCCCTGGCCCAGGGTGTGTGAGATCCAGCTTCTGCCTGACTGTGACAGTGGCAAGGAAGGTCATTTGAGTGGCACTAATGGCTGTGAGAGAAAGTGGTAGCTGTGGCCAGCCTGGGAGCTCAGGGAGAGGCAGGTCAGATGTGGGCTGGGTTGAGGAGGCGATGCACTCTGTGGAAAGCAGGATT